GGAAAGCGGGGGCTGCCCCGGGGCTGTCACCTTGCCTGGGCTCACCGGTGCCCCGCTCCTGCGTGCAGGGATGGTGAACACCAGTGATTCGGGGGGATTTGGGGGAGGTGGGTAGTATGTGGCGTGCAAACATATCTTTTTACTCCAGTCTTTCTACCTGCAGCCTCTTCACTGAGCTTTTTTTTGGGGCAGCTCCTATCCTCCCAAGAAGTCTTCAAGGGGTATCTTTTGTGGTGGTTTTTTCTCCACTCCACCTCGAGCTCCCTTTGCTCAGCAAACACCCATGCAAAAAGGAACCCACAGGGCGAGCGGCATTGCTGGTCTGATGCTGGGACCAACACATTTTTTGGGAAGAAGCGAGGAGGGACCAAGAGCAGCCATACGGGCTTGTAGCACAGACCTCGGGGCAGCCCATGTGAGCAGGCAGCAGGCTGAGGAGCAACCAGCCAGTGGCCTGTATGGGACCCCCCCAGCCAAAGCAAGTCAAATGGGTACTAAAGCAATAAATTTGCCCTCATGGGTTGGAAAGGGGTAACCGGTGGAGGGTCTGGGGCAGCAGCAAGCCAAAGAGACTCACAGCGGAGATTGTGCATGTGGGATGTCGTAGATCTCATCGATATGAGCCGAAAGTCACCGGTGTCTAGGGCTGATCCGGCAAACTCTGCCGGAGTGAGCGCGGCTGAGTTGAAAGAGGAAGAAGAGACACTCAGCTCTCCATTAAACATTAATGCTCAGCCCTGACTTGCATTCAGCTGGACGGTAAAAGCCTCGAGATTGCTGGGGATCAATCCCAGACGTGATGCTAAATGCCAGCGCTGAGCCTTGGAGATGGAGCAAGGAGCGAGCTGGAGCCTGGGACTGCCCTGGCGCAGCCCCCTGGCAGAAAGCAGAGAAATAAATAAAAGAAAAAAAGTCCCAGATGAAAAAAAAAAAGAAAAAAAAAAAAAAAGAAGATGACATGCCTGGGCTGGGTGGGAGAGGCCACCACTGCCAGACACAAGCCATCGGGGCACGAGCCCAGCACCATCCTTTTCCCACGCCCTGCTCACCCTGTCCGACCGATGGGAGCCTTCAGCTCAGAGCAAAGACATTTATTCACCCACAAATATTCCCTTCCCTGCTTCCATGGCTGGGTTAAACCTCTAGCACAGGGGCATTAATGCAGTGCATGAATAAGCTCTTAAACATCCCTGGGTATTTGCTCAGCACCCACAAATCTAAGCCCCCAAGAGAGTTTGTGTCCCACAGAGGAGGTGGAAGAGGAGCTGCTCAGGGAGCACGGTAAATTGGGGTGGATTTACTAAAAGTATTGACCTCTTTGAAATAAATAACCTGTACACAGGACCCCTGCAAGGATACACACACCGCAAGGATGCACGGTGCTTCATTAGAAATTAAATTATATGGTGCTGTAGCTGTGCCTCTAAGTTGTACCAGGAATGGGACACGGCAGGGTGTTGGCCAAAGCATCAGCTCCAGAAAGGGTTAATGGTACGCAAGATATGTTTAGTGGGATTTGGTGGGGTTATTTTGGGGTTTTTTTTTTGTTGTTTTTTTTTTTTTTTAAACTCCAACAAACAAAGCATGTGAGAAAATCCAGTTCGCAGCTGAGCCCTGGCTGCCTGCCCACTAGGGCAGGCAAAATGCAGATGGTTCGAGATACCCACACGCCTGCGTTTCTCCCGCCGCCCGTGGCTCAGGGTCCCTGGCAGGTCTCCCTCCGTCGCATTTCAAGCCAGCCGAGGTAGCAGTAGTGTGGATCACAGCGTAAAAGCAGCACTGAGACAGGAGCAAATCTACCTCCCTCCAGCCCCATCGGGCTTCCCCAGACCTGTGGAGGAGCTGGGACCCTGCAAAGCTCCGCTTGTTCAAAAATAGTAATTAGCTCTCAATGTAAATGGGTATTAACAGAAAAAAAAAAAGAGCTTCGCCGCAGTCTGGGTAAACACCTCAGAGTGAATTTAATTTCCCTTCTCCCGGCAGATGTAACCGCGCCGCTCTACAATCATTGTCAGGACGGGGTGAGGAATGAAGAAGCTGCGGCGGCGCCGGGGCAGGCGGCGGTACCCACTGCTTCACCGACATTTAGCTCCCCGCGGCAGAAATGGGTTTCCTTTCCCCGAACCAGATGTGTAACGCAACTGGTGATCAACTAAACCAGCAGCTAACCCCACCACGACGTTAAATCACCCTAAACGCCAGCCTGTTTCTTAATCCTTAGAGTCCCCCGGTCTAGACGGGACTCGAAGGACTAATGTGAAAACCAAGCAACAGAAAATTTATGCTCTCCTGTCCAGCTGCAAACAGAAAGAAGCATCAAAGGGTATAAATTCATTCGGCCTTTTAAATTTTTCTGCCTTTTGGGAACATGGGCAGCACCCAAGCACGATCCCGTGCTGGTGCAGAGGGTTTGCAGCCAGTTCACATCACCACATGCGGCCGCTTTCAGGTTGCCCATATGCTCACTAAATCATGATAAAAAGCAATCGAAAATCTGCCTTTTCCCTACTGACGTGGGGAGCTGATGAAATAGGCTTTTACCCAAACTGCCCCAAAAGCTAACAAGTTTTTCCCCCAACCACCGGTGGATTAAAAGCTAACTTGTGACCGGTGGTTGGGGCTCAGCTGATGTGAGGTATCCCTTCAAGTGGGAGGTAATTCAGCATGTGATGGCAGCTGTAGTAAAAGCCTTTGCTGGTGATGGAGTGCTTCCCAGGCCGGGATGCAATTATAACCCAGCCAGGAACAGTCTGGCTTTGGGGCTGGACCCAGCAAAGCTTTTGGGTCAACATAAAGCAGTCACGCACCCTGGAATGAGAACAACCAGAAAAATGTGCACAGTGGCTTCCCCAACAGTTTCTGATCTCGTTCCGCCACACTGCTTGTCTGCTGGGAGAGGGAGGTTTAGTTAATTAATTGCTACAATTAGCATGGAGCTATTCCTGCCTGTGATGGTTACCTTTTCCTCCCCTTTTTGGTGCATCCAATTACTGACTCATTCGTTCTCCGAGGCAGAGGCTACAACGAGAGGCTTGAGCATGGGGGGGTGAAGTCCAAGAAAGAAATGTAAGAGGTCCCAAGCTCCATTTCTACCCAGGATCTGTCTTAATCTCATGCAAACTCCTCATCCTCTCCCACCTATCAACCCATGGCTTCAAGGAGGTGATGAAGAGGGAGCACGGCAGTTCCAAATATTGCCATTTTATTTCTCCCTCCAGCTGACCCATCCTGATGGGTGATGGGCTCATGTATGCCGAGATGGACAAGACTCCCAATACCCATCACCTCCAAACTCTCTGTGATTCCTTCAAACAAACATTATCTACTTTGGGAAATCGATTATTTATTTTCCATTACTTAGCAGGGACGGTGAAGGAAAGGTGAGTGTGGGGTCACGGCTTTGGCGAGCACCAAAGCGAAGCACCATCCCTGAATAATTCATGCCCCCTCTTTTCTGCAGCATCTGGACACAGCTGCTGTGTTCGCCGTCGCAGGCTTTTTCTCGGCTGACTCAGAAAATCCAGCATTAAAAAGCTGTGATTTTGTTACAAATAGGGATTTTTGTTCCTCTTTTGCTGATGTCACTCCGTGATCCTGCAGGGAGTAACGCTCGGATCTCTGCAGCCTGACAAGCCCTATGTGCCCTTTGGGACAGATGTACTTGCATGCGGGAGATTGTTTTTCCTTTTGCTGCCCGGATTTATATTTCACTGAAGTCCAGTATCGATCCTGCAGCCGCTGGGCTGGAAGCTCATTTTACTAAATGGGAAGAAAAACAGTTCCCCCCACCCCAGCACATCCAAAATGGAAAATCCTGCAACAAAACAGCTCTTAAAAAGGGGCCTGAACGATTTTGCCGAACCTCGAGGACTGCGCTGCCGACATTGGAACGGGATGTAATTTATTTAGCCTGACCTTTCCCTGCGAGACCACGCTGGCGGCATTATCGAGGATCCTTTCTACCACTTGTACACCCATTGCCAAGGTGACGTCCCGCTTCATGCGTCAGTCCGTGAAGACCGCATCCACGCTGCTGCGATGCTTTGTTTGCTGTCCTGCCTGACGAGCTCTTGGCAGGGTTTCAGCTCCCACGGATGGCAGCTGCTCCGTGAGGGACCAAAACAGATTCAAGCTGGACGTCATTATGGGGAGTTTTATGTAGTCAGAGCATGGGACTGGCGTCCCCTGGGTGAGACTGGACCATGGATGAGATAAAGCAAAGATGCCCAGAGGTGGTACCAGGTGTAATGGGACCGCAGTGCTGCACCCCATGCTCATCCCCATCCCATCTCACTCAGGATTTATGTGAGCCCTCATGGTGCTGGGGGCACCAGAGGCAGCTTGCTGGTGCTCAGCCGGCAGAGGCTTGCCAAAGCGCAGCCGGGTTTGGATGGTGGAGCACGACCGGTGGAACAGGTCCGGCTGCTGCACAAAACCACCTCTCCCCTCCACCTTTTCCTCTCCCCTCCCAGCACTTTCCCAGCGGGTCCCAGGGGGAGGCGGAGATGCAGATGGGAAGGATGCATCTACCCTTCACAAGAGATCCATCCTCTTGGTGATGGGGACAGCCACAGTGGGGAGGGACAAGGTCCCAGTAAAGCTTTTCCCCATCCCACCAAGGGATTGAAACCTCTGAATGAGGGGGATTTTCACTGCTCATTCCCACAATTCTCAAAGGGATTTCAGCGATGGATGAAGACAAAGGTTGCAGCTAAAAAAGTCCCCAAAGCCCACCAACTTCTTATAAGAGACTCAAAGGTCTACAGTTATGGGGGAATAACGGATCAGGTGGCTCACAGGGGCAAAGCCACCTCTACTTCAGATATCAAAGGTAGGAAAGTCTTGTCAAAGTTTCCCACATGTCCATCCCCTTCCCACTACAGCCCTCCCAGTCTTGTGGTGGGCTGCACTCCCCTCCCACAGGTCTGATCTGAAAGAGGGCCCTGTTGGGAGGACAGAAGAGGAGATGCTCTTGGCCATGGACACAGCTCTCATGGTACCTGTGTTCTCCTCGGACTGGTTGAAGCCACAGATCTGGCAGATGCTGCGAACCCACTTGTTCATGTCGTCCTCGGTCTCAGCCACCAGGTAGAATGTCCTGTCGCTGGTCTTGATGTCAAAGATGTAGCTGTCTTGCAGCTCCTTCTTGTTGAAGGTCAGGCCCGCGTCCACTTGCTCGCAGAAATTGAGGTTGATCACACGCAAAGGCTTCTTGGAGTGGTCATTTTTGTAGTACTCCAGGACGTCGGGGTCGCCACTCATCCGACCACTGCGCAGGACGAACCAGCGTTTCTTCCATGCCTGCAACCAAGAAGAGAGGAAGCATGAACCTCACCACTTAGGTTGTGAGAGCCAAGAAACCCCTTCCAGGCACAGGGTGACACAGAGGGACATGACACCTCTCCGCCCTGGGATGTTGCTCAGGACATCCCTGCAAGAAGTGCACAGACTCAGCTCAGTTCATCAGTTCAATACTCAAAACCCACTGGTTATCTGGGAGAAATAAATGCTGAAATATCATTCTAGCTTAAGATGACCCCAGGAACTGCTAGTCTTGAGGCTCAGAGCAACCTTGCTCCTACCCTACAGCCCAGCCGCACTCCCGGGACCCACATACTATGTGCTCCTTGATGCAGGACAATCTGTAGGGCAGCATCACTGGCAATCGCTGTGCCGAAATGCCTTCCAGCAGCTTGGAGGAGCTCAGGTGCTTTGGACATGGTGTTTTGGACACAGTGCCTTGGGTATCCTGCCCTTCAGAGAAACCCCTGAGAGCATCACAGCGCGTGTCTGCAGATACCAACCATGCCAATTCCATCTTTGTTTAAATGCCAGGATAGAAAGGCTAATAAAACCAATGGGGAACTGATTTGGTTCGGTTTTCTAAATATCAGGAATAATGCCAGGGAGACCCGTGGAGAATCCAAGCTTCATTTGTTTTTCAGCTTCTTCTGCTCCCTGGTACGTAGGAAACTCCTTAGCAAAGGAAAAGGTTATCATCGATTCTTCTGAGCAGTGCTGACAGCGGCCACCGGCCAAACCACCCGGGGAATGGACTCAGGGGTTTACGAGGTTTGAATCAAACTGGCAAAATTAATGTCAGCCATCAGCCCTGGCACTGGGAGCTGCTGCCCCTCTGCTCTCCCCACACCAAATGCAGTGCTCACAGGAGGGGCAATAGCGACAACGACGATGTGCTAAATGCTACGATGTATATTACACAGAGAATTGTGCAGGTGTAACTCCCCAGCCCATGGGCTGGAGCATCTTTTTGGGGGACTGAGCTCTGCACAAGCATCCTGGCACCTGCAGGAGGATGCACAGGGTGAGGGACCACCTCGAGTTGCTCCCCATCACAGAGCTATGCTGCCCTGCAGAGGACTCAGCTCCCATGGCATATAGAAGGGAAGGACTAGGTCTAAGCGTAGTCCTTAAGACATCTGAGTTTGCTCAGGCTCCTTTTTACAGGTGGTGAAGGTTTGAGAGATGCATGAAAAACGTGGGCTGGATACAGCCCATGCAGATCAGCGAGGTGATGTGGGGTATTGACAGCGCTCCTGCACTACCTGATGCAGACCTTGGTTTGCACCAAATGACGCCAAAGGAGAAGATGTGATTCCCACCATCCTACCCTGGCTGCGGACTTTTGCTTTTTTTATAAGCTTTTCCTTAATTATTTTTTTTAAAAGAAATCATCATTTTTCGGGTTCGTGTGATTATGAGAGGTTGGGTCATGAGGAAGCACATGACGCCCCACCAGCCACAAACATCTTTAGTAACCCAAGAGAGGCAGCAAGGCAAGCAGTGTCCTGGGACCTCCATGAAGCTCCCTGGGAGGTGAGTACAACCCTGTGAGGCTTTACATATCAGCAATGGGCACATGCTAGATTTCAGCCACCCAATTGCACGAGGATCCCATAACTTTGGAGAATCTGGTGGCTGAAATGAGGGTAAGAAACCCCTGTGATCTTTTCTCTGAATAGTCCAATTTGCACCGTACTTCTCAACAGCTTAAAAGCAGCTTTTGGTGGTGTCTTTGAGATTCATAACCAAATTAGTTTTGCACTAATTCTCAAACTGGCTCCCAGTGCCCAGAAAGCAACTTCAGTGCAATCTTCCAAATGCAGCGGAGCAGGAAATTGCTTAGTAAGAGGACGTGCGAGGCTGGCAGATTTTGGTTTCATCCAGGAGATGCTCACCCACTTCTCAACAAAACAGCTGCTTTTAGATGAAAAAAACTGCACACAGAGGAGCTATGTCCATCAGGGAGGGAAAAAAAAAACAATTTCACCAGGCAGCAGCAATAATTTGCTTGTCCATCTCCTCAAAATGGATCACCCAAATCATTGGAAAAAAGCCCTCATCAACATTTTTTCTAGCTCTAGGTGAAAAACGTTCTATTAGCTTCTTCCTATTAACACCAAACTATTTCTTTGCAGCTGCTTGGCAGGACTAAGACATGGGCAGACACCGATGAGGGGATCTGAAAGAAGATCAAGTTGTGCAACCACATGAACCCCCACCTTAATGAAGACACATCCAGCACCACTTCTAGCTACTTGGCTCGTTGCTTTCCAACCATTCAGAGTCAAAGCCTTGCAGTATCCCTCCATGGCAGAGAAGTTGCACTGAAGAAACCACAAAATACAGAAACTAGGCTTCAGAATTTAGAGTTTTTATGGAAAAAATAGGAGGAAATGCTGCAAGCAAGGCCAACGATGCTACCACGGCTTCCCTTTTTATCACCAATGGGAGAGCCACAACTTCTCTAGTTCTCTTCGGTCTGTCTGGTAGCAATGGAAAGCCCCTCACAGTCAATATTTGGCAGAGAAAACAGTATAACACACACAGTCTGGTGGTATTGGATAAGTCCTAACATAAGCTGGTTGCAAAAGAAGTACTCATCTTGGGACAAAATTTCTTGGGAAGCTTCAGGACCTGGAGTATCACTGGAGGGTGGGACCCTTGGACAGAGCAACAACCTCATCAAACTGGGATGACCACCCTGTCCACCTCTGTCTGGTGCCCTCATGATGATAAAGAGTCATCAGTGTTTTTCTAAAACAGCTTCTGATCCAAAAAAAACAGCTCATGGCAGCAGCTGCTGTCCTGGACAAGGTGGCTGCAGGCAGCACAGCTGGATGTAGCTCCCACTGCACGTCCCCGCCGCAGGACCAGCTATTTCTGCCTCCTGAGATCAGCTTCTGAGCCAGAAAAATACGCACTGGCCGTTAGAAGAGAATGGAAGGAAATAATAAAGAAATAGCCAGGAACTTTCTTATTTTAGGGGAGATGTTCCCCATTTCTTTGAATTTTTGAGCACTGAGCTCAGCAAACGTATTTTGAGTTCTTCCCCATGGATTTGCTGTCTCCAATTAGGAAAAGTGCTCAGCTCAGGCTGGGGTTGCTCTTGGAGCATCTTGTGGCACTAACAGAACTTGCTTCAACATATCACGATATGTGGCAAAGGATACGCAGCACGTGGCCCACCCTCTTGGGTCACCTATTTCCCCATTCAAAGCTATCAATATCATCTGAATCTTCCATGTTTAGGCTGCCCTAGAATATCAACTTCCCGCAAAGGGGTGGTTTAAGGGTCTACCGACCACCAGCTTCCACAGCAGTAGGATGCATAGGATCCACATGTCCATGCCAAACTAGAGGAGGATGCAACTCCCCGTGAACACTCAGTTTCCAAGACCACCTTCTCCCACCACAGGGCTGTGATGGCCAACACGCATCTCCTCCTCCACCTGAATTTTCCTTCATTCTTTATTTCTATTTCTTCCTGGCTCCTTTGAAGCCCCTGTTGCTGTCAGCCCGCTGCTGCCAAAGCACTGTGCCTCACCGACACGCGGTGTGAGCCAAGGGCTGTGTTTGTTTAACAGCTTTACAACGTAGAGAGGCCAACAGCTTAACGGCCGTAAAATGGTGCCGTTGCGGCACAAAGTTCCAGCTGTGTGGTCCTTGGCCTGCATCAGGTTGCTTCACAGTTAAATTACAGCTGCTAACGGCCCTTAATATCATTGAGAAATATTTTGACGCTTGGCAAGTACTTCTTTTAAAGACTTGTTTGTTAAAAAAAATGCCCATTCCGCTGCCAGAGGGATGTAAATCCTCCCTGGGTGCCGAGAACTGTGACTGCTGCTTGATTGCTTTCCACTTCAACAGTGCCGTGGCAAGTTAAAGTTTATGAAACTGACCCCTTTCCAGCTGGATGCTACCTGGAATCAGTTGTTTTATGGGTTGGAGAGTTGGGTTGGCACAGATGAGGTGGTGCTCCTAGGTTCATTAGCTGAGTGCACTTAGCAGAGATGTCCTGGGGGGCTCAGGCTGCTCTTGGGACCCTTCCTGTCCCCTCTGCTGGGTGAGGAACCAGAGAGCCCAACCTCTCTGCTGCTCTTCAGCAACTGAGATACTGTCATGGAAGATCTAACCACACCATGAGTGAGGTCCCTCATGTCCCCTGTGGCTGTCCTGATGGTGCAACACTGCGACACAGCTGGTGGCGTCAGTGCAGAGTCCCTTGTCAGAGAATCTGGAGACTGCAAGTGCGTAATAACCCAAGTGCAACTAAGGACAGGTGAGACAGAAACTTTATGAACTATGATCATAGTGAGAGGACATTCAGGCAACATCTCCCTCTCTGCTCCCCCGTTCCCTGCCAAGTGATTGCAGAGACCCAGCCTATATATTGTGTCAGAAAAACAGAAGAGGGGAGGAAACTAATAATTTCAATGTTAGCAAAGCCAAGTGTCCATCTCCAGGGAGCTTGCTAACTGCCACAGTCCTAAGAAGGAATCAAACAGTAAATAATGTGACAATAGGGAGAGATGGCTCTTGGTGGCGCCTATAGCAGTGGCCCACCCAGTACTATCTTAGCTCAGAAGCGAGGAGGTGGAAACGGTCAGAGACTGTTAGCTTTTTGTTGGACGGAATGTTCTCTCAATTAGGATAAACTTGAGCCAGACCTCTCAAATCTTAAATATGAGTAATTTTACCACCACACCCTTATAGTGTATATAGGGATAGGGGAGGGGAGTCATAAGATACCTATTTTCCATATCATGCAAAGAGAGGAGAGGAGAGGAGAGAAAAAAATATACATTTCCCAGGAAATCTCTCTGCCCTGCTCCTTCTCCCCCCTGCCACCACCTTCGTATCTGGGAGCGCAGCACACCACCAGTGTGAAATAAACCTTCCAAAATCTGATCTGACACAAACCACAGGATCTAATCCGAGCTGGCAGGCGGGATGAGTGACCTAGCTGTGACATCGGGCAAATTTCTCACACCAGGATG